CTGCAGCAAGCAAGCCTCGTGCTCGCTTCAGTGCCTGGCTGCTGGCCGCCATCTTGGCTGACAGTTAATTTGCATATACTCACTGATTAGCCAATGAAAAGGGTAGCGGTCGTACGCTAATTACCATGTTTCTCTTTTATTAGTGTAGATAGTCATCTTTTATTAGTTGTCTATCCCACTCTACAGTTAAGCTCCTGAAGGGCAGGGTTTTGTTTTGTTTCGCCCTGCTTATTAACGTATTTCAAAGGCTAAAATAATTTTGGCTCATAGTAGGTAGTCAGTAAGTATTTACTGAACTAATGAAAGAACGAATTTGCTGTTTCTCAAAGAGCATAAAGTAGAGCCTGACTGGGCTTGCATGATTGTCATAACCTATGTGGAACATTATTCTATGGAAAGTTCTGGTAGTGACAGTGGTATTCAAGTCAACAAATGTTTATTGAATCCCTGCTATACTCCCAATTCCCCAGAATTTAGCACCCGTTCTCCATTCAACATACCAGTACGTTAAAAAACATGCTTTTTGGTGTTACTTGAGGGTAGGTCCTATGTGGTTCGCCTACATAGCATCTGTTACAGTGATATGTACATAACAGACAATAAATATTTGTTGAAAGAGCAAATAAATGAACTGGATTAAGGTTGTAGGTTACCTTGGAATCAAGTTATTTTTCATATGAACATTTGTTTTGTGAAATTATGGTCTACATGAGTAGTATTTTGCAAACTGAGGTCTGTTTCTCTGAAGGATTTCTAAGTTTTCTTTAAGAATTTTTGGGTTTTCATTTCAGTGTTTACCTGAAAAATAAGCTTACACATATTGGGTTATCTGGTTCACAAAATACCGACAGAAGTTTTGGTCTGTTTGCTTTCTGTCTCCTTTTAGCGTATTAGCACCACATAGTGTAGTACTTTGTCATAGGTTAATAAGAAAAGATCAGAGGCAGTCTAAAAAAGTAAATGATTTATTCACCCGAAATGAAGCCCACATGACATAAAACCACTGTGTTGGTAGATTTTACGTAGTTTAAAAGGAGAAAAGAGAAGAAAGAAGTGAGTCATGACATAGTAAAATAAGCTTGCTTGAAGTAGCAGTCAGTACCATATTCCTGTTCTGAGAGGTGATTTAGTTTGACAAAACATATAATCACTGGTGTTTATAAATCAATACTTTTAGATTAAATTTTGTTGACTTTATAGTTTTATTTGCATTTATTTTATAATTTTGTGGGGGGTTTTTGTAGCTATGAGAACTATGATATAAAAAAATTGAAGCCTACCTTTATGTTTGTGCATATTTAATAACTAGAGGTCCCGTGCACGGATTCGTGCACTGGTGGAGTCCTTCGGCCTGGCCTGTACCCTCTCGCAATCCAGGACCCTTCGGGGGATGTTGGGGAACCAGTTTTGGCCCGATCCCCACAGGTCAGGCCACGGGACCCCACCAGTGCACAAATCCATGCACCGGGCCTCCAATATGCATATAAGATCTTTGGTTAATCTCTTCCTGCCTTCCCCCTTACCCTCTACCCTCTGAGATTCATCAGTCTGTTCCTTGTTTCCATGCTTGTGATTTCTGCTCCTGTGTTGAGTGGCTGCCCGCTGGTGGTCAATGCACATCATAGCTACCAGCTGGTCACTTAGGCTTTTATATATGTAGATATCATAATGAAAATAGTTTAATATGGGGTTGTAGGGCCTTAAAGATGTTTTATGTTTTTCACTTTTAGTGGGTTTTAGTGGGGTGTTTATATTTTACTCATGTGTGAAAAACATCAGCAAATGTCAAGCTTTAGGGCCCAGGACACAGAATATTGATTTCATTAAAGTCCAGGTGCGACAGTTTAGTGCAGGACAGATATTTCTGCTGCTCCTACTGATAGTGGTGCTGGTGGTGGTGAAAAATAAACGAGAGATACCTTAGGAAATTGTACAGAGGTTGGTTGGAGAAAATGGAGGAATTTTAGATACAGTTGTAGCTTTCTTTGCAGTTGTGCTTTTGGCCCTAAATTTGTGAATTCTCTTTTTTAGTGACTTATCTCAAATGGCTAAGTAAAAGCAGTGTTTTTGTTTCTAGATTTTCAAGAAAAATGCTAATCAGCATATATGTAGGTAATACAAAACTCTGCTTGGTTGGAATACTTTGAGACCTAAAGAGCTGTTTAAAGTCATTGCTATAGAAAATCAGAGGAAAGAGATGCTTATTTTCTGATATGGTCCTCCCTTCCTGATTAACCCCCCCTTCATTTTCTCCATTCTGACTCTGCAATGGGAAATAGGAGTAGAAAGAAATAAGATGAGAACTTTGTATTAATTTACTTTATAGAAGGGATACTAAAAGCAGGTGTTATTTCAGAGTCAACTTTGCTATCATGTCCAGAGAAATACTGTCTGGGGTTTAGTCAATCAATAAATATTTATTAGCACCTACTATGTGCCAGGCATTATATGGGGAGCTGAAGACAGTGAACAATAGATAATTATTATTATTCTGTTCTATTGTACCTTTATCTTCACTTGTTGAATATGAGTGAGAGATTTCAAAATTTATAGTACATTACTTATGCTAATTTGTCTGATTTCCAGGACAGAATACAGTGTTAGAACTTGTAAAGGCTCAGCTTAACTTGTTCTTTTTATCTTTCTCTATTTTTAAGGGGTGTCATGAAAGTGGACATAAATCTTCAGAAAGTAGACATTGACCAATGTTCGAGTGATGGCTGGTTTTCAGGAACTCATAAATGTCATCTCAACAATTCAGAGGTAAGAACATGGAAATAGAGTCCCCTGAAATCTGAAGCCCAGAAATGTATTACTTATGATCTATTGTATTTTTGTGGGTAAGTGAACATGAGACGTTTTACTGGGAAAATACCTCCTATGCAGGTCTAAATGTTGCCAAGTGAACTGAAAAAGGAGTAGGAAATTAAATTTGTGCAGAGTAACTGTTCATTTGGAGACTAAGAGAAGGCTGAAACTGAAATTATATCTGAAGTTTGGCATTAGTCAAAGGCTGATCCTATTTTTCAAAAGGGGCTGGAAATTAAAATAGCAATGAAGTGAAAAACCAGTCCTGGAAGGGCCAACCAGATTATGCATATTTTAATGGAAGATGATGCTTGGTGAAACCTTGATGCTATTCACTCGGACACACTGCCATCTGCCAGAAAAAAAAGATAGATAGAGAGAGAGAGAGAGAGAGAGAGAGAGAGAGAGAGAGAGAGAGAGAGAGAATGGCAGGGAAATATTAAAAACAAGGAGAAAACTAACAGTGACCTGTAAAGGAAATGTATATGTTGGCGTATATATTCCCAATTTTCAGTTTTTTATCCGTTCCTTATTTCATGGGACTGTGGATGGTTAGGGACAGGCATAGAGATTATAAATCTGGAAATATGACTATCACTTGTCTTTTGTAGTTTCAGACAGGAAGTGTGATGACATCCTGATTTCCTTTTCAGTAATCTACTTCTGAGATCCAAAATGTTAAGAACAAATGTACAATAAAGTTCTTGATATTAAATACTTGGGCTATCCCAACTTTCAGTCCATGAATGTGTGAGGAAAGTCAGCTTGATTTATTTAAAATAGAGGGAATATTCCCATAAAGGTAGTGATCTACATCTTTAATCCATTTTTTTGCCCTTTGTGAAAGATGGTTATACATAGTACAATTTTAAGGTAAGAAATTAGTAATCACAGGGAAAATTAAGAATAAGCACTTATTTGTGCCATTACTAAATAGAAAAGTGCACAGACATGTGCATAGCTCTACATGCCTGTATATGTGCCCATTGCATATTTCCCTTGTGCATCCCCCACATATTTGGCCATACCCAACCCACACACTTTCACTCCCCAAATAATCATCTGCAGTTCCCCACTTTCCCCTTACACTCCACACACTCTTCCAGGTGCCCCATATTCCCTATCACAATATCCCTCAACTTTGCCACCCTCTAAACCCTCTAATTCCCCCATAATTCTCCACATCCTTCTAAATCCATCACACATTTCCACCATATATCCGTAATCCCCAATTCCTCAATATCCACGCACATCGCTACATATCCCAACACCGTAGCCCACATCTCCATATACCTCCACATGGCCCTCACTTCCTTCATTCCCTTGCTGGGACCCAATCATGCAAGGAACTGTTTCTGTCTTGTCAATTCATTTAAGATCCTCTTTCATTTCCTTTATTTATTCTTATAGTTTGGAACATTTCTGAGTATCCACTTCCCTGTGGATGATTCTGACATTTCTAAAGATATGAATTTCAGTCATCGACCTGGTGAATATTTTAGCCTGATTATTATCTCCATGCCAATGGTATATAGCCACTTAGCTTTGTCTTTTAGCCGGAGTGGGTTTTTCTGCATGGTGTCATCTGTAGGTGCTCATTTCTGTACAGACTTGTTTCAGTGGTGCTCCTGGGTGGTGCAATAAGCATTCTCTTTAGGAACAAAGAGATGTTTATTTTTCAGTGTTTTACAGTTGCTTCTTGCTTCTAACAATCTTAGTGTAGTTTTTGTTTATTTATAGCACACCTATTTACCTATTTATTTGACTAGATGATCATAGTGGAAGAACCTCTTTCTCCTTTTAGAGGATTGATTTATTTTTGTTGCATCAGAATTATAAACTTTCTGGGTATTGTTTCTTTTTAAAGCTTTCAAATAAACTAAGTTATTTCTAGATAAAATATTATCCTCTATTCTGGTTAACAAAAATTAGGTTTAAATGTTTGATTTTGGGAATTATATATGAGAACATTATATTTTTTTCGATTCCTATAGGAAAAACTGGAAAAACATATCCTAAAAGACAACCCACAGTTCAATAACCCTTCGTGAAATGTGTTATAGAAAGAGGTTCAGTGCTATAAAAGTAACATCATCAAACACTGAAATGTCTATAAGACAAGTACTCTGGATCCCTCTACCTCCTTTCCTTGCTCAGGTACTGGAGCTGGGAGTAGGAGATCTTGGTGTGCCAGGCTGAGCCCATGAGGCCCTTGGGGCTGGTCTGACTTAGCCAAGCCTGCCATGGAACTCTTCATATTTTTTTGTTGGGCTTCTCTAAGGTCCTGCTGGTGGTTCTGGTCACTCAGGGCACCTGTGACAGTTTCATACCACATCTTTAGTCTCTAGGCCGTGGTCGGCAAACTGCGGCTTGCGAGCCACATGCAGCTCTTTGGCCCCTTGAGTGTGGCTCTTCCACAAAATACCACAAAACACCACGTCGGGCGCGCACATACAGTGCAATTGAAACTTTGTGGCCCATGCGCAGAAGTCGGTATTTTGTGGAAGAGCCACACTCAAGGGGCCAAAGAGCCGCATGTGGCTCGCGAGCCACAGTTTGCTGAGCCGCAGTTTTCCAACCACTGGTCTAGTGACTAGCAATAGTCTTTCAATTCCTTCCCTGTACTGAGGTTAACTGGCGACTAAGAACTGGTTTCTCTTGAAGTTTCTACTGTGTGGAAAAACAGAAAGAAAAGTCTCTTGTTCAGGGCATTTTTTTTAAAATCTGCATTGGCTCTCCTTTGTTCCTTGTCACAAATCTTCTGTTATGGACTCCAAGAATCACTGTGTAAATTGGCTTATTTTGGAAATAGTTAACATGAGTCTTATCTGTAGGGTGTGAATATCCATATTATTAGAAAAAGAGACGCTCATAATGTTTATTGTGAGTTCTTTCTTGCCAATGTTTAACACCCTTTCTTGTAAATACTAGAAGTTGTTAAAAATTTCAAATTTATAACTGAGTCAAACTTTTCACTTAAAACTTTTTTTCCAGTGTGTTGACTTTTCAGCTTCCAAGTTATCTTAAACCAGAATTGTGAGTCTGATGTTGGGAACAAGTGATATGTAGACCATTTTAGAAAGGTATGGAGTGGTTTGTGAGGAAAATAATTACTCAGTGTGTATGGGTTGTTACAGGGTCTATGAGGCCACTACCGGTAAGTGTTTTTTGAAGGGCAGAGTAAAACAAGATCTGAATAAGCACCCTGAACTGGATTGCAGGATTATTCTGTTTTTGCAACTGATTCAGATCATTCTAGCATGGACTTGATCATATTGTTAGCCTCCATTGAAATAATTCTTTACCCATTCTCATATCATTGTTTGCTTTGAATATACAAAATCTTCTCTTACATAATAGTTTATTTAAAACATTAAAAATGTTACTTAATTATGTTTTAATGGTATTCTTTTGCTTTGTTTCCATTATAAGAAAAAACTTTTAATCATTGTTTGAGCAGGAAATATTAGGAGAGTGTCTTTGAAACTTTTTTTATTATATTCTATTAGTAAAAATGCATTATGCATCCACCCATAGTGTGTGTGTGTGTGTGTGTGTGTGTGTGTGTATTAACCTACAAATTATGCATGCATCTTTTGTTATATGTTCTACATATTAAAAATCAGAAAACTTAATCAGGTTGAAGATAAAGATGAAATAATATTTAATGTAGATATTTTATAAAAATAAATGCATCTGGGGGCAGGGATGGGGGGTCAATGGGGGAAGCAGAGGGTGACATAATTCTTTCAACAATAAAGATAAATTTAAAAAAAATGCATCTTTAATGTGGGCAATGTAATTGATCACAGTGTTTGAAAAAAATATTATTGAGAGTGCTTTGATTGATTATGCTTTAACATTTAAAAAATCTTAGTTTAATACTTAGTAATGCAGTGATTCAGAGGTCTCTAAGTTCAGTTTATTTTTATACTTAGTTTTCATGTCTATCATAGTTAAATATATACCTCACAAGGATGTGTCATTTCAAATTGAAGAAATAAATTGTTGACTGTATTTGCTACATCACAGTGCTCATTTTTCAGTTCCATCTACCAATTCTGCAAAGGTTTTTGCAGAATTACAGCTGGCAATTTTTCATTCTCCCTGATGTCAATTAATTGGTCCCTGCAAACTAATGGGCATTTTAATATTTTAAAGGAAGAGGTTAAAAATTCACTCAAACTTTCACAAGAAATATTTTCAAACAGATTAGGACATTTTATTTCCAAGTTTAAACTATATGGCTATGTGAGTATTTATAGTTTTTGGCAACAAAAAACGCATAGCACTGAAAACCATTTCCAGATATCCATTTTCAAAATGTTCACTTCAAAAGGCTTACTCATGGATTACTTAAATGTCATTTTTACTTTGAAGGAACAGCTTAGATTTTTAAAAAGATACCTGCTGCATAGACACTGCTAACAACCACTAGTCAGCATAGAGCAGGTCAGCAAATTGGAAACATTTATCTCTCTTCTAAAGAACAATGCATAACTAATCTTTGAATTCAGAAACAAGTAGTTCACTTTGAGATAATCAGGAAATCTTTATGTAGGAAAAGATTTTTCAGGTCACACATCTCATTATGAAGAAGTATAAATATTTTACTATTTACAATGATTTACTCTATAAATTCACTCAGGTGGTCAAATGGAAATGGTAATAAATTGCAATTTGAAAGCAAATTACAGAACCAAGTAACCACTGCCAGAATTTCTGTCTTGAAACTCCCAGTTTTCCTTTAGGATTTCTCAAGTGCCTTATCAACAGTGTAGTCATATGAGATGTGGACTGAGTGGGGACATTATTGTCAATCCAAGTCTTAAATATTAGTAAAGCTTAATTTATTTCTTATTTATTTACAAAAAATTCAATGTAAGTAGAAGTTCCAGTATTTTCTTCTCACTGCCTATTAACCTCTTGTGTTCTCTGCTTTGGTAGGTGGGTCA